CCCAAAACATGCCCACCACCCCCCTACCGCCCAAAACAAGTTCACCGCCCCTCAGCATCCTACCGCCCCCGTTGAGAACCAATGGTTTACAGCTATGTGGAATTGCACTATATGATGTTGTTTCCTAATTTTTTTTTATAGGTGGTACACAGGTTTGGGGTATGTGTTCATTAAAACTGGAGGCCTGAATTACATGTCATTCTGAAAGTTCCATATATTCTGTTAAACTGCCAAAAAATTAGGTTGTTTAATTAAAAAGAGGTTACTTGTTACTTCCTTAATGTTGCCCACTCATTTTGGGCCAAATCAGAAGTTTGGTATATTTCTGCCCCACTTTTGGAGCATTACTCATCTATGCAGAAGAAATCACAGGGTGAAGAATTTCACAGGGTATAGAAAAATATAACAATATAAATATTGCATCTTCTGCATAAGTTGTAACTACTATGTAAATGAGTAATGGCATATATTCTTGTAATCCCAATAGTGAATCTTTTAACTAAGACCTGAAGTACCAGTTAGAGGGAGTTACTGTCATATTACAGGCAACTCAGCAGATAGCATTTCAGGAAAAAAAAGTGTTTTTGTACAATCATTTGCAAGTTGTTCCAAGACTGTGCCCCTGGCTTGCTGCTGCCTAGTAGTTGTATTAACAAAATGGCTGCAGCAGTTTAGAACTTCTAAGGTCCATATTGCTAGTGTTAAGGAGTATCAAAAATAATTTTACCTTTTTGACAATTAGCCTCTGGAAAAGACAAATTGGCTATTAAATCTAACACTAATCACTAAGTGTGCACAGTCAGCAGTCTGGCACATGGATAAGGAGATCCCCATATCGATGTACAATATTTATTGGAGAATCCAGGACAGAAGAGCCAGCTGCAGTTTATAATAAAGCAAATATATACTTTATTTACTCAAATTCTCTTCATTAGCTCACTTATAGAATCCGGAATCTTTTATTAGACTTACAGGTAATCCACTGGGATTCCACAGCAGGGTATAGCCTTTTGAGTCCATTTATTTAGTTAGTTAGAAAATGTATATGGCCACCCAATTTATATGGCCACGCACAGTGACTCCGGGTGGCTTACAAAGTAAAATCTCCAATATAATAACCCATCAACGCCCACCCCCCGCAGCGGCCAAAAACACATCCAACACAACCACTTGATCGGTTCCTTTTCACCTTGGGGTCCCCAGGCCCACTGGCAAAACCATATCTTCAGGACCTTCCAGAACAAGAATCAAGGTGGGGGCCAATCTTAATTCAGTGGGAATCATATTCCACAGGGAGGGAGCCACCATGGAAAAATCCCTTCTTTGTGGTCCCATCAGATGTACTTCCCTCAACGATGCGACCCGCAACATACCCAACCTCCCCATTCTGGTGGGCCAGGTAGATATAACTCGGGAAAGGCAGTCCTGCAAATAACCAGGCCCCAAGTCATGTAGGGCTTTAAAGGTGATAACCAACACCTTGACTTGGACCCAGAAACAGATTGGCAACCAGTGCAGCTCCTGTAAAAGAGCTGATGTGTGCAAATCTGGACTTGGGCAGAATTATGCCGGCTACTGCATTTTGAACCAACTGAAGCTTCTGAATACTCTTCAAGGGCAGCCCCATGTAGAGCGCATTACAGTAGTCTAAGCCGGAGGTGACTAGGGCATGGGTGACTGTGAGAAGGGCACGTTAGTCCAGAAATGGGTGCAACTGATGCACAACTCATAGTTGTGCAAAGCCCCTCCTGGCCACAACTGCCACCTGCCCCTCAAGCAGAAGTTGTGAGTCTAGGAGAACCCCCAGATTGTGCACCGGGTCCATCTGGGGCAGTGCCACCCCATCCACAACCAAAGATGGTAATTCTCTCAGAACCAAGGAGACCCGGATCCAAAGCCGCTCTGCCTTGCTAGGGTTCAGTTTCAACCTGTTGCTCCCCATCCAGACCTCAACAGCCTCCAGGCACCGAGAAAGGGCAGTCACGGCATTGCTTAACCCATGGTCAGAGATGTATAACTGAGTATCATCAGTATATTCATGATATCTCGCCCCATGATGATGAATGATCTCATCCAGTGGCTTCATTTAGATGTTAAACAGGAGCGGAGAAAGCACCAACCCCTGCGGAACCCCGCAAAGCAGGGACCACAGGTTGGACCTCTCACCCCCAACCAACATTGATTGAAAATGGCCTTGGAGGAAGGAAGTGAACCAGGACAGCACAATGCCCCCCAATCCCATAGTCCATGCTATGCACATTGTCTTGAAATTGCTGCCCTGGTAAAAAAGCCAATAATTTACTTCACAGGTCCACTTCTAAGCTTTAGTGCCCAATCAGTTTTATTTTTGAAGAATGTCTCTGATGTATTTTAGGGGCTTGGAAACATCATTGAAAGTAAAGATTATGTTAAGGCTGGTTATGTGCAGCATGTGAACTTCTTGTTTTAGTTTTAAATTAAAAGGAAGTTTTAAAAAATGAGGTGTCAGGGAAGATGTTAAAGGATGCTGGCACTTGCGGGCACAGTGTTGGGGCCTAGTTTTATACTTCAAGCTGTAGGTCTGAAGGTGAATTGTTTCCAACAAACTATAGGTAACAAGGCCTCGGACAAGTTCGTGCAAGCCTTGGACAAGATCGCGCCCGTGCGACCTCTCTTGTTCCATTGAGCCCGACACTCCCCATGGTTTACGGAGGAATTGAGGGTCTTGAAAAGGATTAAGAGATGTCTAGAGCGCCACTGGAAGAAAACAAGGACCGAATCCGACCGAACCCAGGCTAGAGCCGCTATCAAGGCCTACCTTGTGGCTGTAAGAGCGGCGAAACACCAATATTTCTCTGCTGTTATTGCATCCGCAGAATGCCGCCCAGCAGTCCTGTTTAAGACCACCTGATCCCTTTTGGGAAAGGAGGGCCCAGTGCCCTATTTACAGGGCTGCGCAGAGGAGTTTTCTGGGCATCAGATAAAATCGCTCGGATCCATTCCCAGTTGGATTCCAAGTGTGGGGCATGGCCTATGGAGTTGCCCGGGGTACGAACTTACCCTGTTATCTGGGAGCAGTTTGATTCTGTTGGACCTGGGGAGGTGAACAGGGTCCTCCAGACTGTTAATGCCACCACTTGTCAACTGGACTCATGCCCCTCTTGGCTGGTCAAGGTCGCTTGGGTGGTTACATGTGGGTGGGTCCAGGCAATAGTGCATTCATCCTTAAGGGAAGGGGTGTTCCTGGTCGTCTTTAAAGAGGCGCTGGTGCATCCCCTCCTCAAGAAACCATCCCAGGATCCCACTGTACTGGCAATTTTTGTCCAGTCTCCCACCTCCCTTTTTTAGGAAAGGTGGTTGAGAAGGTGGCGGCATTACAGCTCCGGAGGGTACTGGATGAAACGGATTATCTGGACCCTTTCCAGTCAGGTTTCAGGCCCGGATATGGGACGGAAACAGCACTGGTCGCGCTCATGGATGATCTCTGGTGGGAGCTGGATGGGAGTAGTGCATCCATCCTTGCTCTTCTTGACCTCTCAGCGGCTTTCGATACCATTGACCATGGTATCCTTTTGGGTTGACTTAGGGAGTTGGGCATGGGCGGTGCAATTTTGTGCTGGTTCACTTCCTTCTTCCAAGGTCAGTATTGATCAGTGTTGATTGGGAGTGAGAGGTCCGGCCCACGGCCCCTCTGTTGTGGGGTTCAGTACTCTTCGCCGCTCCTTTTTAACATCTACATGAAACCACTGGGTGAGATAATCCGCCACCATGGGATGAGGTATTATCAATACACAGATGATACCTAATTATACATCTCCATCCCAGGTGATTTGAATGATGCTGTGACCACCCTTTCATGGTGCCTGGAGGCCATAGGGGTCTGGATGGGGAACAAGAGACTTCAGCTGAACCCTGGTAAGATGGAGTGGCTGTGGATTGGAGGTTCCTCTGTATTTGGGGGTTTACCATCTTTGGTTCTCAGTGGGGTTGCACTGCCCCAGACAGACCCGGTGCGTAATCTGGGCGTTGTCCTGGACTCACAACTCCTGTTTGAGGAGCAGGTGGGAGTCATGGCCAGGAGGGCCTTTGCGCAACTTCGTGTTGTGCTCTAGTTACTCCCCTTCCTGGATCAGGAGTCCCTCTGGTTTGTCGCTCACGCCCTGGTCATCTCTTGCTTAGACTATTGCAATGCACTGTACATGGGGCTACCCTGGAAGAGTATCTGGAAGCTACAGCTGGTTCAAAATGCAGCCGTGCGGGCAATCTTGGGTGCCCCAAGGAGGACACATGTTTCTGGGTCCAATTCAAGGTGTTAGTTATCACCTTTAA